CCATAAAATAAGTTGTTCTCATGTAAACTATACAAATGCAACCCACCATCACCTTACTTCCTTCCAGCTTTTCTCATGCATACAACCTCGTCATATTCCCTGCATATTCTTGCACTGAAGAATAGTTTCTCATAATTGTCATTCTTACCCTCGGAAGTTTTACTTATCAGACCCACGAGACTTCGTTCGTTGAAACTACCTGTGGGTATACCACAGAAAAGACTTATTTTGGGTATCACTCATTCAAAGACATGGTGCACATGAATTCATATTTGGAACTTATTCTTAACGCAATGCTATTTCATGTTTTCCGTAATTATTTTTATATATGTTCGCATAAACGCCAATTCATAAAGGGAAGCCAATGACCGACCTCAACCTGAATGGACAAGATTACTGCGTATCATTTTTCGGAAGCATTACCCTCGCGTGATCTTTGGAAATACTGGGGCATTTTGACAGTTGAATTTTATTTTTTCACAGAACAGATTTTCTATTCATCGTGCAAGTGTAAGGATGAAACAGTAAGTTACACGTACGCCCCCGTTATTTGCCGGCTTATTTAATCGAGTTGCAAAATCGTTACCTAAACTAACTCGGTCAGCTGCAATCTCGTCTGTCCATCACACTTGAAATTTCCAAGTTCAAATGACGATACAGAAAAGCGTCGCGATTTCGCACACGATTCCCTTCAAGTTTTGTGATTACAACGTGAAAATGATTACAATACCGGAGTCCTGCACGAACATGACTCCCAAGGTGTGGCTTTCGGAGCAGAGCAACGCAATGCGGAGCCGGAACCATTTTGCTCCCCACTGTGGGCTATACTTCCGTTTAAGACGGCTTCAGCCCGATAAATCACAGCGTCCAGCAATGTCTTGTATTTTTCCTCGTCTCCAGACAAGCAGAGCATTCATCTTCGCGGGCTAATGAGTCGGTTCGAGTGTTTAAGCAAGAATCGCGGCAGATTTGACAGCCGGGATTGAAGCACTCGCCGAAGTCGTGCTGTGTGCCCGCCTGCTTAGTTCCGCGTCGTCGCTGCGGGAGATTTATGGCGACAAAATCCGACATGACGGTAATTCACTGGTCCGTGGAGTAGTTCAAGCCTTCTTGGACTGTGCAGCGAGCAAGAAAAGGTTTCGAATTCAGCATCAAACTGACGCTGTTGAGGAACATACTTTGGGGGACAAAACACAGGTTTAGACAGCGGTGTTACTGACGCAATTGATGAAGTGAAACGTAGCTGAGATATTCCGTAAAGTAAGGCTTTCGTTTGGCACATTTCCAAGTCACTCCCCTGTGTAGGATAATTTCGCAGGCTGAACTGAAGCATGCACACTTTTCAGCAGTTCATCATCGATTCAATCGAACCAATAATCAAAATAGACTTATAGTTTTATTCAACAAGTTCCAGTAAATTACGACGTCACAATATTAGCAGAACTTGTGATTGTGATTCGGGCACTATACTTTGCAATTGAATACACGTTTAAAGCTTTACAATATATCCTTTCAGATTCAAAGAAAATCTGAAGAGGAAAAAAAAAATGACAAGCAGCCGGGAGCTCCGCATTATATACTTCGCAATTTCCAAGATATTGCAAAAGTTTACAAAAGTGAAATTTCGTCACAGCAAAGCTGGACCTGGAAACACCTTCATTGCCATGAAACATTCAATATATTGAGACTCAAATAACCTTGTGGCTATATACCAAAAGGACCTCAAAAATGAATTCGTTCTAAAAAAAAGAACCAGGTTCGTTAAAAAAAGATTCTTCAAAACCTGGAAGATACAGAAATGATGACATACAGAAATGATTCATTCAGACAAGCAAAATGAACCCGAAGGATCACATAATGGTGGGCGCGTACAAATTATTTATTTTCTAGCTCAACTGCAAAATTATCTCCGCTCTTTTCAAGGCTAGTATTCAACTGTCAAAAAGACCGGTGTATTTCCAAAGATACCGCGAGTGTCTTGTTTCTCTTACGATTTCAGTCCATTCAGGCTCGGTCAGACGAGGCTTTCTAAAATCAACTGGCAGTGTCCCCTGTTATCTAAAAATCGCACCTGGCTTTTCTCCGAAAAAGTTCAACTATTATTTTCAGAGCATTACTCAATACTGTATACTCCTGCCGGTGCATGAAAAAATGACCAAGAATGCTCTCTGCCTGACCCAGCATAACCTCAATATCTGGCATATTGCCACTTTAATTTTAAGAATCGTTCTTCCACATTCACATTGACTCACTCGAATAATTATTAGTCAGAATTAATCTCACATATTAAATACCCTTAAAGGAGATTCTCCTGCCGTCAAAATAATATAGATGAAATAGCCCTTTCATGTTCATTTTGGCTTATCGCTCTCCCTTTAAAAAAATCACCAGAATATCAGCTTTACTAGTCGGTTTTCAAGAATTATACAAAGGATCATGTGACATTAGCTGAAAAACTCGAATATTTTTATAATAAACAGCTATCAAATCCTTGTCACAGGAAAGTAGGAAAATTTGAAAGATGCAAAGATAATACTTGATGCTGGTGGAATATCTCTCTCTCTCTCTCTTTCTCTCCAACAATCATGTCATGTCAGCAATGATTTTTTCAATACATACAATAAATTTCTTGTGGTTTCACAGGATTCAACTCCTCATGTAATGGGGGTTCTCTACAACAAAATTTGTATCTGGTCCCTTCATTTTCATTGTAGAAAGAGTCCACCTTTATTGGCCGAATTTAATTCCTCAGAAATGTCAAGCGTAGTCTAGGAAATGAAAGAGGAAGTTTTTGTCTTAGGTCGAGTCCCTCCATGATTTATTTTGTAATACTTTAACTTTAAATAGAGTATAAATTTACTCGGTTCTTCAGTTCATCGAAAATTAGGAATAAATCCCCCAAAATCATATGAAATGTGTTTCTCAACTAAAAGATAATGAATGAATGAATGAATGTGCAGATGAAATCCTTACAGAATGTGATCGTATGCCATTAAAAGTACCCCAAAAGCTGGCAAAAAAATAAATACTTGTCTTGCTATACTGCGCCCAGATGACGGAGGATACTCCAAAAAAAAAAAAAAAAGAAGAAGCACAAAATTAACCTGTTTCTGATCGTAAATTCGAGTAAATGTAAAATGAAATTCATGTTACCTTTAATTTGTGATTAAAACTTGTAGCTCAACTTGTTCGAGACATATCTAAATTTGAAAAATACAAATTCAGCATTTTTCTGGAAATGTTGCAAAATGTGCATTTGTTGATATCTTGTCTGATGTCGGGTCAGATTTTTTCAAGTTTCAATTGTCCCCTAGTCGAATTGTTGGTGTGTTGTGGTGTGTCCGCATTTCGGGGTCTCACGTTACGCGGCTTGATTATTTGTACAGTGATGTTCCGAGGACAGTAAATCTATGTTTTCACTATCAGCAGAATATCGTTGCAAGAATCTGCTTATACGCAGATGGAAGGTTTTCTAACTAGGACCAAAAACCAACTTGTCTGGATGAAGAATATCGCTGACTGGCACATTCAGCTTCATTTAAGACTGCTGCGATCCCAGTGCTACTGAATATAGAGTTCGAATTCAAGAGCACGAACTGTTTCCAACAACATCGATTCCTCATCAAACCCGTGTTAGATTCGTGGGGCATCGACGCAATAACACGTGCTGCTCTCTTAGGCAACGCGGGGCTCGTCGGAGGCTGCAATCACTTCTTCGCGACCTGACGAGTGAAAGTGAAATATTGGCCAAAAGGATTGTGTCATGTCCCTCCCGAGACCGAAACGATCATAAGCTCTGCGACGACGCCGGAAACGCGCCACGTGCGAATTGATTGCAAAACGGATGCAGATTCTTTGGTGATCTCCGAGAATCCGATAAATTACTGAACCGCCCTCGGTTATTCCTGTGCGCTGTTTTTGCTAGCCGCTTTCGCAACTCGTCCAGGTCCTCGTTCGTCACAGACCCGACTTCATTTCGCCGCATAAAGACAACTCGCGGTGAACCACCGCAGCTCGAGATGGTGTCAGGAAAAAATAAGCACCCGCGGAGAAAAATAAGTCCGAAAAGAAGCACCCGTGACTCACTGTCTTACCGAATAAAATCTCTGCATAAAGAGTAATTTGGGACGCAACCTGATGTTGGGCAGACGTCGTTCTTAGAGAGATGAGGAGTCCGAAGGCCGCAAATAAGAAAAACGTTGTTGACGACGCACAACTGCACAACACGAGAAACACGAACTTCCGCTGCTGTGAGGTTTTCGCCAAAACGTTTTCACAATTGGAAAGATGACTTTTTTTTAATACGAGTCAGAAAATTGCTAACCCTATTCCAGTGCTTGATTCTGTGCTACAGTGGTCGAAACTTTACGAAATTGTTCGTCTCATCTTTAAAAAATGGATATCAAGAAACTGGTAAATTTTCTGGAATATAGTTCGCAGTTTTTATTCGAGTGCAGAGCCTTTTCACCATTACCCGATGGTTCTACTTCAACGCCACTTGAGAAAAACCTGTGGTACTAGACACCATTTTGTGTGTTTTTACCTCTTTCAATTTTATTCAAGTCAAAATAGCAATAATGCCGTGAGACAAAAATTCGGCTTCGATGGATTTTACCTTGAATGATTTGTGGGGGGGGGGGGGGGCTTTTCTTTGGGGTTTTCTGCTGTCACCTTATGTATAGGGATGTATGGTGGGAGAACAGACGGTGGAATTCATCGTCAGTCATCAAAAGAAAGCACGATACTGTACAGTACTTTGCTGTTATTGGAATGAGCCCCGAGTGAAACAACGCTCGTGGGTTTATAAGGGGGTTATTGATACTTAGCTCTGTTTGTGACGCAACAGCTCTGTTGCGTGGGAAATCTTCCCTTTTCGATTGTTTCCCCAGTCTCAGCAGAGAGCTGACTGTCGTCAGCCCGGGACAATGCGAGCGAGCGCTGTCGTTCCATTGTCCTTGCGTCGGTTACCGAAGAGCAGCGGAAATCAGAGAAGCACAAGATATGGTTTTGACAACGGACCACGGGATATATTTCAGGTACCTCCACGGACAACATGGTAACCTCACACAACACTTGTTGCTTTTGATTCACATGGAGGGTGGGGGGGGGAGGGGGGGGTACGGGTAAACTCGAGCTTGCCGAGGATTTCGACTAGCCTCATGCCAGCCGACGAAGCTCATTGGAAAAGTCGGAGGCAACCGTACGACAGGACAGCATGACGATCAAACGACACATGAACGCAGGGGGTCCGTGACAACGCGTACTTTTCACACGAAAAAATATCGAAAGACGATTTGACTCACTGAGAGGAAATAATTACACTCGAGGACATCCGAAAATAAAAAAAAGGTCCACATGCGCCGCCACACGGCGATACTTCGCCGGCGACGGGCCGGAGGGTGTAAAAAAATATTTGAAACGATAATAACAGCGAAGCGAATTGCCCAAATTAAAATAAAATAAAAAATTTTCGGCGAGAGCCGTTCCGGAAATGAATCAGCGCGATCGTTTCCTCAGTGAGCGTACTGTTCAGCACAGTCCGAAATCAAAACAACACGAAGCGCTTTCGGTTCGAAACACCAGACTAATGAACAATCCGTATCCAGGAGTTGATAAATATCGCTCAAGATGAAGAAGCCCGTGTCGTTTGGGCATGCGACTGATACCAACCTGAGCGGCATGTTTTAGCGATCGGCCGGATTGCCACCCGCAATCGAGGCACCATCGCTGGGATTTGGGGGAAAAACGCACACGGGGTATTGGGGGGAAAATGTATAACAAACGAAGGAGCTGAACAGATTATGCTTCTGTTTCTAGCTGACGCTGAGCTCAGTGATCTGCTTGCCGGGCCGAAACCTTTTCTTTTTGGAGGAAGTTTTAGTGTCCGTAGCTTCCACCGGAGGCTGGGGCAGCTTCCTGAGAGTCCGACCTGGAATAGCCTCCGGATGGAGCTCCGTATCCCGTATCCGGGGCCGGGGCGCCGTAACCTGGAGCTGGGCTAACTGCGGGGGCTGCGTACGACGGAGCCGCGTTGTAACCCTGGTTCACGATCGCGGGAAGGGTCTTAACCTGAATCCATAATAAAAAATAAATCGCATCATCTACATTCATCCACCCTCATCCTTCTGACTTTTCGGATCACTTCGCCGTAGAAGTGAAATCTTGTGGAAAGTTCCCCAGTATCTCTCAAGTCCTGACAGAACTCATACTAAAAGAGGCCGAAAGAATCTTACATGAGCGCAATGGGTAATCTTTCGTGTATACATTGAAATGTACTTCTGTTAAATATATTATTTTCGCTCATTCGTAACCCTTTATGAGCAGTCCTTCTCAATCCAAGCGCTTCTAGCTGATCATATGAGCCTTACTCAGAATACACCGCCATTTTTGGCGGATTGAATATGATCGAAAATAAGAGTATAGAGGAGCTATTGGAGAATTAATTGCTTTAGAATAGCAGGACGATTGAGGGAGCGACCTTGGCTGGCCCGAAGAATGATGAGTTGTAAACTTTTACTAGGAGTGACCTCTCTTTTCCTTGTTTGGAAGTGGTTGATTTTTAATTGGACGTACCTGAGGAGCGCCGTATCCGCCAATGTGGACAACACCCTTGTTGATATGACGAACACCGTCGTCGAAGTTCTGCCTGTGGACGCCGCCGCTGTAGCTGCCGCCGTCGGAGTGGCTGTGGCTCACCTTGCCCTGGTACTCGCCGCCGTCGTAGCTCTTGTGCTCGACAGTCTTGTATTCGTGGACGACAGGCTTGTAGATCGGGGTCACGATGGGTTTCACCAAAATGGGCTTCTGGACCTTGATGACCTTAGTGACGTGCGGGACAACCTTGACGTGACGGTGTTGCTGGTACAACGGGTATACCTTGACGTGCCTGCGAACACGGGGCGAGGAGAACTCATTAAGGAACCAGTCAATTGACCGATTGCAAGGGCACCAAAACACCGGGAAGAGCATTTGTTTGCGCAGTTTCTCGGAATGTCTGGGATATTCGTCAAAGGAAAAATGGATCCTCGTCGTCACTGTCGCGAAGAGTGACGAGTTTCTGAGGTCCGGATTCGCACCTGCGTTTACGAAACAGTGAAAGTGGAGACCGCGCAAACAAAGGCGAACGAACCGAGCACTGAGAGAACTGATGAAATTGCATGACGTTGAAAAAAAAGGAAGGAAAAGCAGGAAAACTGTGAGGCAAGTATAAAATTTGACATGAACGCGGTCTTTGTTCAGGTCCGCGGAACAAGGGCGAAATCAGTACTACTTCCGGAAGGTTGAATGACGAAATGTTTATTTTGTGGGGACAAGACGGTGTCAAATACGGACAAGAAAAGGGCTCGAGCACGTTTTTAATCCGGTTACGGATCAAGTTGCCACACGGACGTGAGGCCCCGGAGGCGTGAAGGCGGGGAGAAGAGTTTAAAATTGTTCTCGTTCATGAAACTTACAGCAATTCGAAAGTCACACAGGGCGGCAAGGGCGAGTCAGAGGGGCGCAGTTGTCGAAAAAGTTACGCAATTATTTCTTTAAACATTCCGGCGCAGTGTCATCTTTCGTCATGATCAAAGGGAATTCCCCTCGATTACTCAGAACAGGACTTAATTCGGGAAAATTTTCTTGCGCAATCTGCCCTACTTTTTTTTCTCTCTCTGATTGAAACTTCCCTTGTCCTAGACCTCGAATGAATTGAGAGAAAATTATGAGGGGGCGACCACCACGGTGGATTTGAAAAAGGAAACTCGGGAGTATAATCCGGGATTAACGTGTTCTTATCCGAAGCTACGAGTTGACGGCTCTAGGGAAAAGCTGGGGCAGACACAAATTTCATATTTTCATTTCCGGCACCCACACGACAACGGGGGCGTGACTGCGAGTAAGAAGTCGTGCCCCGAACCCTTTGAGAAGTTACGCAACGGACTCGGCGTGTGCCGCATCCTCAATTCGCTTTTTTTGCTGGCATTAAACCGCAGTTTCCGGGGTACAGGTTGTGATTTTCCTCGGGAGAGAAAATGCTTTTATCCCACGCTGGTCGCTCTCCCCGAGAAAGAATGACGATAAACAGTACTCAACGGGGCCCAGAAAATAAAATAAAAGGCACGGCGAAAGAAATCGAAAGCTGCAGCATTATATTCCTCTCACGGAATCCGAGTTATTGTGCTCAGGTTTCTTCACCTTCCATTATCATAACAAATACGCCAGCCTGATGCATATCTTTATGGGGAACGTTCCAGTGACCGCAAGCCAGTAGACTTTATGTCACAATTTAAACCTCTCCAGTATACATTATTCTTAACCATTAAATGCATTTTCGCAGCAGAGGTGATTTGCCCAAGGGTCTTACTTGTGGTGATGGTTGACCGGGGTGACACGGATGTGCTTGTGGTAGTGGTGGTGGTGAGAGTGCTTCGGGACTGTGATTGGGATCGGGATCTTGACTGGGATGCGGATCACCGCCGGCTTCGCATAATGAGTGTATCCACCGCCGCTGCTGCTGCTGAATCCTGGAATGTAAATAAGTACGAATATCTCCATTAAACTGACTCCTATGGTGGCTCGAACAATTTTACCAACTATCTTCATCTCTATAATAAACTCTCCTCCTCAGGATAAACTCTCGCTTTACCATGGATCTGACCTGTAGAGAATATTTTTGCGATGCTTTGATGATAAATCATGGAAATACGCTAGCATAAAAACTTTCGAAATTAAATCTACATTCTTTATTCGCAAATAAATATGTTTAAAAAATTAATAAATTCGTAAATTTGAAGGTTGTGAGAATGCGTAAAGCTGCTAAATTAATTTTTCACACAATTTCTGGTTATCCAAATGAAATAATAATACTTGTCTCATGAAGTTCATATAATTTTTGTCGTCAGAACTGATGATTGTATGCTCGTAATAAATTATAAAGTTTTGCTTTTGAGCCCTAAATCACAATTCAACAGCATGGAGTAATGTACGTTTTACAAGAAAAGAACATTTCCGAAAGGAACTTATACCTTGAATATTTTATAGAAACTTTAGTAAGGAATGCGTTTTAAAATGATGAGAGATGTATTTTTTTAGGTATGAATTACATTATTTGATAAGAAACGTGAAGCTGTCCCAAATTTGTTATGAATAATTTTGAAAGTCGAAAACGAATGAAAGAGAAACACTTTTTATCTCGAGAAAATTTTTTTAATTGTTGATGCATGTGGAAGAGGAGAGATCATAGTAAAAAGCGTTTTAACTATTTCTTTGAAAATTTCTTTTGAAAATTTGACAAATATATTTTGAAATAGGTTGTAATCTTTTAGACCCGAATGCTCACGATTCGAAAATTACGAGAGACATACTTTTTTGGGCATGAGTTTCATTGTTTTGATTTGAAACGTGAAGCTGCCGCAGAATTATGTTAGAAATCTTCTTTCAGGTAAAAAAATAATAAAAGAGAAAATTTTTCATCGCGAGAAAATTTTTTCAATTGTTGATGCATGTGAAGGGCGAGGAGAGATCATACTCAAAAAAGTATTTACTATTGTTCTTTGAATTTTTCTTTTTCTTTAATGTGACAAGAATTGTTTGAAATAGTTTGTAATATTTCAGACTCGAATGCTTACCACCGCCATATCCGCCTCCGTGGTGCCCGTGTCCACCGTGTCCACCATGTCCGCCATAGGAAGGAGCAGGGGGTCCGTATGAATCCCGTTCTTGGGCACCGTAGCCGATCGGGCTGCCGTAGCCGAGCCCGATGTTGTCGCGCTGAACCCTATCGGAGTTCTCCCCGGACTCGGGTTTCTTGTCGGCAATGGCCAAGGAGGAGAGTGCGGCGACTCCTAACGCAATCTGCGAATGCATTCGACAGCCAAGTTCTTAGCAAGCACATCAACAGACAAAGTACTTTGAGTACTGAACGATTTTCTGGTCGACCGTTTATGGAGTGAGAAGCCGGAGGAGGGCAGTTATGCAACCGAATTTAGACTGAATACAAAGACGAATTTTTAGAAGAGAAAGCAAAAGTTCAATGTTGCATCAGTACTCGTGAAGCACTCAATTTCCAGCGCTTCTCCTGGAAATTATTCTTTTGTTTCATCGTTCACATGAGTGAAGCACAGCATCGAAAAATTTAAGTTTCATTCTTTCAAAGTGAGTTCCCTGCACTTTTCGAAACCCAGAAAACTTTTGGTCAGCCCAAGCACAAGCTGCTGCCAATCGGGGATTTTTAATTTAAAACACACTGGACTTGCCAGCACTGCAATGGCACTGAGCACTTGCGTTTACAAACACTTTTCTTTTTCTGTTTGTTCGGGATTCACTGCGGTTCGGTTGATTCTTGTGGGGAAACTTACCACAAGCCACTTCATGGTAGTTCCTGACGAGTATCTTCGACACAAGACAATTTTTTTTTTGCAAGCAGACTTTGCTCCTTAAGCTCCTTCCTCGGTGGATTCGCTCGGTGAACTGTGGCTTGGTCGTCGGACGGCTACCTCTTTATATGAGAGCGGCGGCCACGGAGAAAACCGTGTGACAACACATCCCCTCACGAAACCATATTCCTTAACCGCCGTATACGATATTGGCGCCCCCACCTTGCCGCTTCCGGAGAGGGACGCCGCGGGAACTCTCCCAGCTTTCCGAACAGAAAACGAAGAACGCCACTGAAGGAAAGGTCCTCAGGAAAGGAAGAAAATAAGCGAGATTCTCTTGAGGAGATCCCGAACAGAAACCTTCAGTAGCAGACTTTTACCTCGCCAGCGCACACGTAATGAAAAACACGGCGCGGTGCGACACTGAGCACCATGTCATCGACGATGACGACTCACTTTCCATCACGGGCAATTAGGAGCGTTTGGATCAAGATTCGGGCTGACTTTTTTGCGCAACGAAATTCCCAACACGTGATCTTGACTTTTTCGACTCCACTGATTCCATCCCCTCCATGACGGAGGCCACGTTTTGCAACGCGCATCTCTTGGTTCCGTCTGTAATGATTGCTTATTGGCCGTCTCCTGATCCCCGCGGTAGTTGTTGTTGAAAAATACCAGGTGCTGATCTTCAGCAGGTTGTTGGCCTGTGGATGAGGACACGTTTCCATCCCGGACTGTTCGGTAACTCCGAATAACAATCCGAAGTCGAGAATAATGTGGCCTTTTTGGGGAAGAAACCCCCGTCGTTTGCCCACTTTGAGTCGATCTCCGCGACGATTACCGCATCGACCCCAATAAAATCAATTAACACTCGGAGGAAACGAGTCTGGGAGTCGAGTACCACCGGTATCGTCCAAGGACGACCCAATCAACGGGGTCAACTCACTTGGACGACTCCAGCACCGCTGTCCTTAACACGAAAAGCCCCGGGTTTATTAGAGCTAGAGTGGATTTGCTCGACGGTCACAGACATCATATTTTTGGGTCAAGTCCGCAGTGAACTAATCAAGGAATCTTAATTCCCCGAATAACGCTTCGAGTCGGACAGGGTTTGTTATGAAAAAACTCTCCCTTTGTCATTGTCAATCAAGGCATCATGATTATTTTTTGTCAGAAGGACATGCATGCATTCACTGACCCCGTGATAAAGATCGTTTGACCCCTTCATTAGGGTGAGCATCATTCGGCTTCTTCTTCTTACGAGATCACACTTACCTCGGGGAATCCAAATGAATACCAGGCCAGCTCATGGATTCTTTTTTTTTTTGGTGTGTGAAAAAATTAGCCGATCAAGAAACACTGTGATTTTCTCAACCTATGAATTTTTTGGCCTGCCCAATTTCTTTGGAACCCTTCATTGTCCGTGTTAATGAATGAGTGCCTTCATCCGGATATTCAGATATCGTGGATAGTCAACTTTTTTGAAGATATCACCCCTAGACTAAAGAAATTTAGATGAGGAGCTGACGTGATATAACCAGCATTATTCCCAAAAATGTAAACTATTAGAAATGCTCCCTGACTGATGTCCCATGTTCTTATATTTTTCTCAAAAGACAATAAGTGTAACATTCACGCTATTCTCGATGCTCATGAGGTCTTGCCTACTATGTGCTTAGTATGCTGAACTTTGATTTTATTGTAGATGCCTAAAGCAATCAATTTCGATCTGATGTTTTGAACTTTAATTACACAGATCAATTAGTTTTTTGTGATTTCCTTAATATTTAGGATCGGTTACTAATCGATGACCGGATATTCCCTATTCTACCCCGAACTTTAAAAACTGAACTGATTCTCAAAAACTATGCTTCAAAAACCGTTGAAGCTGGAGTTTCAATCTATTCCCTTTGAATGTTATAAGCTGATTTTTTTCTATCCCAGAGGATATTTCTTTCGATCATTATCTCATCTTTTACAAAAACTGGGGATGCAATGAAGAATTTACATTTTTTCCGCAATATCTCAAAGCATTCAAATGCTGCCGAGCTTAGTTTAAGTTCAGAGTAATTTAAATACAAAGAACTAAAGAATGTTGTATACAATACTGTAATGCACTCGTATACTTTATTTTTATTATAACCAATTACAGTACGTAACGGATTAGTACATATCCAAGAAGTTGCGTCAGGAAATCAGTGAACAGTAATTGAATGAATTTCCAACTAGTGTATATTTGTCCCAGAAATAAGAATTAAATATTTCTGGGTCAGATAGATGCTCAAAATAAAGCAAAACAATTAACCAGGCATCAACAATCATTTTAAATGAAATTTTCAATTCAGTCACTCGCCAGTGCGACACAAAACACTTGGCTTCGCCCATTATACTAGATGCGATCCTATTCCCAGCTTTTCTTCTTTCGTGGTTTTATATATTAGTCCTGTAGTTTCAATAGCAAAAAAAAAAATTGTCTACAATTTTCTAGCCTGAAGTGTACCATTGAAGACTAATTCTTCTTCAACAGAAAAAACGTTTCAATACTCTCTTTTACTGAATTTTCGTGAGAACCGTCTCAACGAGCAAAACTTCAGGTGTTTAGTGTTAACGCGGAAAATGCCTTAGCTCTTTCATATGCTAATGCCGGGATTGAAATTCTTAGAGTCGCGAATCGCATCTGATGCACAAATTATTGAAATTACTCGATGAATCGGCAAAAGGACATACTCATTGTTATTTCTTGAGCGATGTCATAGCTCAGTCTTTGAGAATCGGTTGTAATTTATTTGCGTAAAAAGTCTGTGCATTTTGAAGCAGTACCAATATATTATTTAGACTTGCTAACGCAGTTAGTAGTTCGGAGAAGCGTAAAACACGCCCTTAGCACAGAAAGTGTATTTTTCGGCACCCTGTTGCTTGCGATCCCAAGTACAGTACTGAGTTCAGTACCATTGTTAACCGTCTCCCAATGAATGGCTCAGCTTTTGGAGATACGCAATCAAAACGACAAGCGAATAGCAATATTTTTTCACTCGCTTTGACATGCGAATAAAATCTATTTCTGGGTCAGGAGAGCCCACTTGAGATAACTGAGTGACCCGTTGCATAACTTTTTTTCGCGCAAGCGTGGCGGGTTTCTTTGCAAAACTTTCCCTGCAGAATCTGTTTTTCGCCACGTTGGTGACAGCGAATTTTCCGACGGAGAAAAGAAACTTGAAAAGGAAAGCGATATCGTGTCGCAAAATTGCTGCGCAATAGTAGAGCTCCGAATAATTGACGAGACGAGGCTTTTCTTGGAACAGAAATATTCCAAAAAGCGAAACCCGCGAGCCAATCAATCTGCCCACGCTGTTTAGCTGACCTCGTAATTCAGTCCCAACCAGTCGTTGTAACCCGGATTCCGCACGAAAGTGTGTGTGCACAAAAATAAACAATAGCATGAGTTGGCTGCATCAGATGGTAAAAATCATGTTTGTCAAGGTTTAAAAAACCAAATTAATGTGGTAAGTGTCGCCTATTCTCCGAAAAAAATGCTGCAAAAGTCGACTGTAGTCTAAATTTGATACACGATAATGAGAAATGGCTTGCAGTGACTTGAAGTGACTTGACTCCAGATATCAAGGTGGAGTAAAGTATGCAAAAACCCTAATAGTACAGGATAAGTAACCAAGCGAGATTTATTGGCGCTTCACTGAATTATTACAGTAAAACACGCAAATTTTGCCGATCATTAGCGAAATTTTAAAATTCCCCGCGGTTTTTCCAGATCCCTCTCCCCCTTTCTCCAATGCTTGTCTGGATACTCTAAAATTCGAGTGTAGCCTACAATCGCATGAATACGGTACAATATCTCTTTCATATCCGGAATGTGACCTCAAAAAAAGGAAACCTGTGTGTTGGTACAGTATGCCGGGTTTCTGTGGAATGGATTGCATCGTCGAGGACGTGGATGCGTCGGCAGGAGTTCAGTTTTTTGGTAGTAGCGAGTGATCATTTGTGTGTCGAGAACTATACGTTTTTTTTAAATAATCCGGGAGAGAAGTGAGGTAATCCAGAATCGCTCCAAGGGGAAAAGGTGGACATCCCCGCCGGTGGACAGCGCATCGCTGATGTCGCATATATATATTTATATATTTACGCGACAATTGATTCTAATGCGATTTAATGCAAGAGCTGGAGGGGATTATGATCTCGTCACGAATGCCAGAGCCAGTCATTTATTGCCGACGAAGCAGGTTGAAGAGACCGAGTCGCAAGTCCTCAGTCGACACTCCACGTCACCTGTAAACATGCAGATCCAACCAGTTGCGACCAGCAGGTTGCAACATGCGAAATGTAAATCGAAATTTATCTCCGAGTCTGAACCAGGGTTCAAAATGCCTGCGGTCGCGTCTGAATCGCATTCAGATTATGAAATCCGGGGAATTTATGATGTCAGGAACCGCGTTTCCTCAGCTTCCGTGTTGGGCTCGTCGGGAAAACTATCGGTTGTGCCGGATCTCGAAGGGGCGGTGGGCACCCTCTTTTTTTTTGTATTCTAATCAATTCTTCCAGCCACTGAAGTGCCGCAGAACTCGCGCATTAACTGAGATTGGGGCCAATAGGTGAAATGAGCCTGCATTCATTCATCGCGACCATTAAAACACCAGCTACTCAGGCGAATAAATTTCCACCTGCTCGTCTACCTCGTGCTCCGGAAACTGCTGGTCATGCTGGCGATTTTCTCGCGTCCGTCTCTTCTTCCCATTACACAAGTAGCCACCGACCCATCGGCAAGGGAGACCCTCATCCTAAACCCCCTTTCTTCCCCATTCAAATTTGTCCCAAACAAAACATGGAGGTATTTCTAAAAACAAATGAAGACCGATCTTCATAAGTACTTTTGCTGTTGTCACAACATCTTCAACGCGCACAAGACCCGTTCGACGAGTACATATTGTCGACGGAGAGACTCGAACCTTCCAGCCGATCTTGAGTACACAGTTTATGAGGATGAGATTTGAAAAGATTCAGAATGGGAGCATACGAAACCTTGTAATTAAAAAATGCAGATCTCTCGAGTTACGACTTCGTATCATACATTTTGGAGGCTCCGTCACCTCGGACCTCGAATTATTATCATTTTTTCTCAGGCGTCAACAATGACGAGTGTTGTGCAATGCGCATTCACAAACAACAATGCACTATCCCCCGAAAAATTATGGGAGATTATCTCATTATAATCCTCAAAATCAAATACTTGTTTTTCTAAGCCCATACGGCGTCAATAATACCAGTTATTCAATGATCGAGAAAAATGGCTACAATTCGTTAAAAATTATTGTTGATTCATACAATGTTTTGATTACACTGCCAAGCATTAATTGCAACGCTGGTGATTCAAGGCTTTTTGCTTGCATCATAAGCCTTCCTCAGCAAGTCAGCATTGGCAAGGAAATTCCGCGATTCCGCAGTGCATTAGTACTTGGATTATTCGAGTTAATGAATGGGTGCCTTTGCCTGGATAATTGAATATTTGAGGAATTATTCTAGAGAAAAAGTTATTCGATGATGACGTGACGTAATATTAATGTCCTTCGCGCCAACCTCGAAGTTCATGATGTCGACAATATACTCTGCTGGATTCACGCTGTACAAAACAGTACACGGTTTTCTTTCCAGCTGGGATAATTATGTTTAGACAAAGTTAATACGAGATAAAAAAAAATAATAATTGGTTCAATGCAGAAAAATCGAAAAATTTCACCAATAAAATTATTATCCTTAAATTAAAGGTTTCAAAAACATAAATAATGAAGGTGAAGGCGAACAGACGAATTAAGCTTTAGTCGGCGAAGTTTTATTATTTCAAATTCGATAGAATGTTGTCAAAGTCATGCTTTTTATGTTCGTTATGGTTTGCGTTATGTTTCGAGTTTTATTCTGGAAATTGTTTCTTTTGACATTTCCAACGAATTAAGATGAAATGACTGGGAGTTTTTGAAGATCGGATGACTTGAGCTCTTCATAGGAGTATTTTCTCCGATTAACGAATTT